CTTCATAGAGTGTTTCAGTTCCATGGTGCTTGAAATTCATTATTGCAGTTCTAAGTTCTGCAGCTTTTGCAGGTGAAAAGAACTTTGTAAGGAAACAGTGTCTTAACTCTTCCCAAGTGGAGATAGAATTGTTGGGCAATGTGTTAAACCATGCTTGGGTGTGATCCTGCAAAGTGAAAGGAAATAACCTCAATCTAAGGTCATCATTGGATAAGCCTTGAATCTTAAAAGTACTGCATAAGCAAGAAACTTCTGATATGATCATTAGGATCTTCATGAGGTAATCCATGGAATGGGCAGGCTAACTGAGTCCATTGGATCATCTATGGTTTTAACTCAAAATTGGTTGCCTCCACATCAGGGAACACTAATGGAGATTGGACTTCTTCTTGTTGTGGAATGAAGAAATCTCTGAGCAATCTCTCAGGTCGATTTTGTTGGCCCCCACCAGGGTTCCTATTATTCTCTGGGTTACCACCTTGGTTAGCCATTTCTGATGAACCTTCTTGGCGGTTCTGTTGCAATCGATCTTGCCTTCTTTTTGCTGCTCTGGCTCTATGTATGGTAGCTTTGATTTCTGGATAAAAAAAATGGTTCAATTCATTGGTGCCTTCTAGTCATACACCAAAGAAGAGAAATTAGAAGCTCAGGTGAATTACCAGAGAAAGATTAATTACCACTAAGGGAATAACAACAAACAAAAAAATGGAGGTTTTACGCCGTCCCCGGCAATGGCGCCACTTTCTGGTGGGTGCCGAGTTCACCAAAAATAATTACTAGCTGGATTATGGTTTTGTAGATAATGGAAGCTAGGTCGTTCCCATAGGGACAGCCATGCTCCTAATTTGTTGTTGACAAACTACCAGTTCAGACAAGTGTCACTCAGGGGAATGAAAATATTCACTTAGGGGAGTACAGACCAGGGGTATTCATCTCTTCTTCATGTTGCATCAGTTATAAATTGCACTTTAATGGTTAGGTTCTTATTCATTCCGCTCAGATTTAACTCTAAGTCAGTTCCCATTTTTCCTAGAGTCATCCTTGTAACTTTAACAATCTATTTTCCAACGATTGAGTCCAATTATAAAGTCATTAAGAGCTACGGCTTATATGAGTGCTCATGTTAACTAAGTATATTCCTATCTTATTTAAAACCATAGATTGTTATCTCTATGTCATAAGTTGAAGTTGAAACAGTCCAAACCAAGTTTATCCTTCCAGATTTTCCCTAGTTCTAACATGCATTCAATTAGAGATCAAGTAACTGAATGTAGAAATACTTTCAACTTCAAAACATAGAACAGAACCAGTGCATTACAACAGCTACAACATAAGTCGAGGAGATTAACCCCTGGAAGCTGTTTAGCTACTCATACTGGTTGATGCCACTACTACTACTACAACAGTCATCATAGAAGTATGCATCAATGAAATAAAATACAGCTAACAGTTTAAGAGAAGAAGACAGCTTATGCAGTTCAGAGGTCACTCCTGGGAGTGACAGGGTTCACTCAGGGGACTGAAGCAGTGACTGAGATGCTGTTCTTCAACCTTGCTTCCTTACTGAGTTGTTGTTCTTCCTTCCTTCTTGCCTTCTGTCTGGAGTTTTTCTGTATGTTCTTGGCAACTGAAAGGTGTAGCCAGAGATGTCCAATGCTGTGAATGCATCCCCCTTTTTATATTGCTTGATGCCAGCTTTTCTTCCAAGAGAACCTCCCCATGCCTATGTATTCTTTATTCACCCTTGTATCTTGAACTTGGAATTGACTGGTCTTTTTCTCTCCTTCCAGAAGTGGTATCAGCTGTGGTATTGATCAGCTTGGGAGGTTGGTTTGTTGGCCAAGGAGACAAGCATGCCTTGGGTTCTTAAGGTGAGACACACTCATTAATTGTGTCTTGAAGGTGTCTTTGACCATCTCAGCGGAATTTGAATCCATCAGCCCATTTTGGTCCCAACAACTCTCCTTTTTTAGCATTTCTTCACTCAGGTCCCTTCCTATGCAAAAAACATAAAACTGGTTAAGTAACATGGACTTATTCTAAGTATCGCCCCTAATTTTTCACTAAATTCAGAGTAAATGGTAATGCTTTTGTGTAACAAATTGACCACTATCATTCTAGTGCTTTGAATTGGTGGAAGCTAGTTTCGAATATCTATTCGCATCATTTGTATCGTAATTTGGATGGTTGGCATGATTTGAGGAATGCTTTGCTAGAAAGATATGCTGGTACTAAAACCTTTGATGAAGCAAAAGTGAAGTTGCTCAATTGTAAGCAGAATGGTAGATCCGTTCAGTCTTACTTTGAGGAGTTAGAAGGCGTGTTCCTGAGTTCAGGTGTGGATGAGAATGACTACATGTTGACTGATCATTTCCACTATAGCTTGGACAAGAGGTATAAACAACACCCAAAGATAAGGAGGCAATCAAGGCTCTATGAGGCATACTACGTTGCCTTAGAAGTGGAGAGAGAGCATGATACTTCTTGTGGTTGGAATGGTCCAATTGAGGATCAAGGGTTGGTGTTTGGTGCTGAAGATAGTGATCAATGGACATGTATCATCCGTACTAAGTGTTCGGTTGGGTGGTCCAATGAAGTTGATTTGGTAATCGATGGTGGATCGAGTACTGATTGTATAAGTGAGGCAATTTGCATAGCAAACGGAATCAAGATGGACACGCATACTAGACCATACAAGCTTCAATGGTTGAGTAAAGAGATGGTTGTGGATGTCACTAAGAAGGCCATGGCATCTTTTCAAGTTGGTGAGTATAGGGATGAAAATAGCGTGGAAACAGAAAAAGATGCACGCAATGAGAGAAAATTAGAGTGTGGTGAGGGTGAAGAGTTTACTAACCCTTATATCTCATTTGTTCCTTGTGCAGATTTAGAGGTTGATGATTCGAGGACGAATCCTCTTAAAGAAGGAGGGGATGATGAGACTCATATAGCCTTCCATTGTGATTCTCCTAGTGAAGGGAATGAGCTAGTCTTTCATTCTAGTTTTGGAATGCCAAGTTTACTTTGCAGGCCAATCAAGGAAGAAAGGATTGATCTTGACTACCTATGTGATAGGGAGTTGGTTCAAGAGAGCTATGATCAAGATGATGAGAATGTCATTAAATTTGGGGTTCAAACTAAAGGGGATGATTCACTCATGGAAATAAGTGCTTGAGAGTATCAAGGGAGTTTGACTCTAGGTGTTCCATGAAGATCATTGATCAAGCTAGTGAGAAGAATCATTTAGGTTCTTGAATGGACGCCCTATTTGATCAAGTGTTCAAGAGTGAGTCCATTGCTATACAATTGGATAGGTTTTTAACTATCTCAATTGTTTCAAGTGTTTTTCCAATCTTTTGGAGTTAATTCTACAAGTTTTGGAGTAAATTGGAGTTATCTACAACTTGAGGGGCGCAAGACCAATATTCCACTTTTGGAAAGGCGTTCAAGACATTTTACTTCAATATTTGGAGCTGATTTTTGAGACTTAGAGTATTATCTAGTCTAGGAGTTTATTTTCAAATTTATCTAGTTAAATAAGTCATGTGGACTGAATTAAAATAGAGTATTTTGATTAGGAATCTTAGATTCCTTAAATGTTATCCTATTTGAGGATAAGTGATTTAGATAAGGTTTCTTAGATTTTAGATAGAGTCAAAGAGATCAAATACTCCTCTACTTCTACTCCTGCGTGAGATAAGATTAGAGAGTCCTAGTTGGTCTTCTTTTTTGGCGCTTTGGCCGAAATTTCTAGCCTATAAATAAGGGGGGTATGGCCGAAAGTTAAAGGACCCATGTGTGGTCATTTTGAGTCTTCTCTAATGAGAGTTTTTCTTGTGAGGAATTATTGTTAAATGGTGTGTCCATTTTTCGTGTCAAGTATGATTTAACCAAGAGGGTTTTCATCTTGTCTTGGATCTTTTGATCTTGCAGAAACCGTTCTTTTTCAAGCATGCTTCTTGATAGAATTTTTTTAAAACTAAACTTCATATTTTCATACTACTTCTAGTAGTTCGAGAGTTGAGCCCTTCTTTTGGCTATGGTTTTCGAATTCATGATGTGTGTGTTCATGTGTTCCTTTGTGGGGTTTGTCCTACTTTTGTTGGATGAGTTTTGCTTCGACATAAGCATTTTGAGATAGTGTATGTGTTGCATATCTTTGTTGGTTATGGAGATTACTAATCAATAGTATTCTTTCATAGTGGAACATTGTTTGCTCCTACCATTCTTGAGTCTCTTGACTGAGGACTGATCGAGTGTATTGAATGGTGTCCTTACTATTCTTAGTGTGAGTTGTTGTTTAATTCGAATCTTTCATAGATTATGTGTTCCTTACTTGGTTTGAGTTAAGAAATAGAATTCCTTAGATAAACGATCGTCTTACTGTGAATTTTCCGCACTCTTTTGAGTTTCACGGGATAGACAACTTATCTTCGTGCCTTATTGTTTGATGGTTGCATTAACGAAATTTGCTTTATCTACGAGATTGCTATCACATAATAATATAGTGATCATCATGACTTGGAATTATCCCTAATGGCCTATGGATTTCCACATCATTCCCTCTTTCTTCGAAATGATTCGTCCTCGAATCGTGTTTCACATAATTCCAAAAGAACAAGTTCTTCAGATTTTTCTTTGTCTTCTTTTTGTACGATCCTGGGTCTTTAATAATGTCATTGAATGGATCAAATACCACCGCCCTCCATTGAAAGTTTATCACCAAACACAAAATCAATGTGCTCAACTTCTTCATATGAATGCATGGGAGTTGGGTCTTCATGTTCATCAACCAATTTAAGCGAGCAAGATGTAGGAATAGTAGGGACTGAAATATCCTTAGTGTTAGAAACATTCTCCACAACTACCTCAGCATCGTTATCGTTTGCCGCTATATCTTGGACATCATCACCAAAGGCATGTTCATGTAGCATCTACGTCTTGGAAATAATATTCTTCGGAGGAGGATCCTATAAGTAATATTCATCTTGACGACGATATCACGTGATCCCCACAACCTCTTGATGCCTAGGAGACCTCTCATGTTCAAAGTCATCATTTATAGGAACATCAAAATAGTTATCCAAGGTACCATCGTCCTCAATATCAGAAGCTTCATCATCATCAACAATATAGTCACCAAGACTAGCAACTCCACTAATTTCATAGTGATTATGTCTTGACATAGAGTTTAAGGAGCGATGAAGTTCTTCCTTAGTAGGCACAATCATAGTTTCAAGTATGTCATAGAAACTATTCATCGACTTAACCTCTTCTTGTAAGTCTTCATCATAATGATCATAGTATTGCATTGTACTCAACTCAAACGCAAGACACAAAAAAAAGAAGATATAGAAGAACTCACTACCTTGTTACCCCTCCCAACTATTCTAAACACACCCCAAGATCTCTCAAAAAGGTTTAGACTTTAGTAGGGGATAGGTTCACTCTTTTTTACCACTATCCTTGTACTTTATTATTGGTGCAATGAGAATAACAAGCAATAAAAGACAAGAGGTCAAGTAAAGATAAGCTCTAATATTTGCAACTAGATCTAAGGAGAACAGAATTTAGATCAAGATAGTTAGAAATAAATTTTAGCAATCTCGGACTAGATTTTGAAATTTAGGGTACACCATTCCAAAACCCTAGTTCTCAGCCAAAGCAAGCAAGGGAGATATCAAACCTCTAGCTTCAATCACAAGTTTAAGGCAAAATTGCAAACCATAGATCACAAGCAAAAAAATAATTTATTGATTTTTTTTCGTGCCTTTGTTTTTGAACGATTTTTTTTTTCTTTTTTTTTTCTCTTGTGTACATTTGTTTTTTCTTCTACTTTCACAAGAAAACCCAAACAATATAAAAAAAAATATAGAATTGAATGGATCAAGATCAAGAGAGACCGAAAAAAATTCAAGAATTAAAGAATATGTGAGATTCGGGTAAATCCAAAGTTTTGAACCAAGAAGTTAACCAAGGATAAGCCAAAGATTAACTAAAACACAAAGAAACCAACGAACCTTTAGCTTTGAGGATAAATTGATATGAATCTTTATCCGATGCGCAATTATTGCGGAAGCTTGACTTGAAAAGTTGCCCGGATGTTTGAATCTTTGTATAACCACGAAGTAAAACCTGTGCAAGCACACAAACCACAAAAAAGAACAGCTGGACCAACAAAAATCCAAGCTAAAAATGTGATGGAAGGGAAGGAAAGATGGAGAACGTGTTTAAGATTTGAAACCCTAGTCAAAACGACCCGAAGCTCCCCACACGTTATAGATGGTGTGCTCAACTAAAATGTCAAATAAAGCATCCACAGACCAAGAACACTTGAAAACTTGGTCAAGGTTAGCTATGCTTCCTTGCTTTTTATTATTAATAAAATAACCAAAGCTTATGGCAGAGCATGTATCATACCATAGTACATCATGTGGCCTTCCTACGAATATAAGGGAAAGAAGATTGATCTAAGACCAATAATCCCTTGACATATCTAGGTAAAGAAGCTAACCGAAAATACATTTCCAAATTACCAAAAGAGGCATTTTTGGCTAACTTATCAGCTACAAAGTTTGCTTCCCTAAAAACATGAGAAACTATATACCCATTTCTGAGTATAATAGAAAGCATTTCCTGAAAAAGAAGATGGAATCTCCAAGGGAAAGCCGAAGGATGGTTCAATGCCCAAGCCAAGCTCTGATTATCAGTTCGTAAATAAACATTAGAAAGATTCATCATTTCACACTTTCTGAAGAGAGCCCCCGCTATCTCTGCCATATAGCTATTACCACCACCAAGGTAACCACTTTCACTGTAAATAAAAGTACCTTCCTTTCCTCGAATGACAAAACCATATCCCCCTTCCCCTAAAGCAGATGAACCATCCGTATTTAGGACATAAGAATTAGAAGGAGGAGGAATCCACCTAACCTCTTTAACTAGAGGCCGCGGCTTCTTCTTCAAAGTAGCCCCAAAAAATTCCTCAAAAAAAGACTTCTCTGCCAAGGTTGCTACTTTCAAGTCATGTACTCTCAAAAGATCACCAACATGGGTCTTGATTGCAAAAATCAGGTTTGATGTCTCTATGATGCTGCCTTCAAAAATCACTTTGTTGCGTGCCTTCCACGTCTCCCATATAATAATTGTAGGCATAAGAATGTGAAACACTCCATAGGCCGACAAATGATCCCCCCTCTGCCACCAACTCTGAATCATTGAGGCCAAGGAGGAGCCCCCTTTGATACACATCATTCCAGCAAAAAAAGACCATACATTCATTATCTTGTGACAACCGAAGAAAACATGCTCTATATTTTCAGATTGCACCTTGCAAAAAGGGCAAATTGAAGGCAAGATTTGCAACCCCATTCTACTAAGAATTTCTGGAAAAGGCAATAATTTATTATGCAATTTCCAAATGAAGAAAGAAATCCTTAAAGGAACCTGTTTAGCCCACACAAAGCTCAGCTCCTTCACCTCTGCGCGCCTCCTCCTTGTAACCTCATAAGCCGATTTGACTGAGAAATCCCCTTTAGTGTTAGGCTGCCAAACGAGGACATCATCTCCTTCACAGAAATCCTGCTCAAAACTTTCAAGAAAGTCACGAACATGGTTAGCAAAAACATTGTGAAATTGCAACAAGTATTGTTGTTTATTTTCAAAGAATTCCCGAATAGTGAGCTCGGGACAAGGGGGCTGTTGATGATCTAAATCCCATATCACTCCAAGGTCCGCCCACTTGTCAAACCAGAAAGAACTTTCCCCTCTATGTATTATAATTTTTGAATGCGTAGAAGCACTTCTATGGACTTTCTGTATGCGCAGCCAAGAGGTTTTTTTCTTTGCAGTGAAAGACAACGATGTATAAATTTACTCCAGAGCCCTCTTCTAATCTTGAGCTTCCACCATTGTTTAATCATTAGAGCATCAATCATTCTTTGAAAATATCGAATTCCCAATCCATTTTCAGAAGTGGGATCTGTAAGGTTTTCCCAAGATCTCCAGTGGCGCCTGTTTGCATCTTGAGTTCCATTCCACAAAAACTCTTGTCATTTCCTTTCCATTTTACATATTATTGATCTAGGCAGAGGAACAGCTGAAAAAACGTGTATTGGAATAGAGGACAACACATGTTTAATCAGAATTAGATGGCCTCCCGTACTTAGCAAATGGCTTTTCCAACTAAGGAGCTTTGCATCAATGGCATCCAACAGAAATTGGAATGTTTCCGCCTTGCACCTTCCATGGAACAATCAACATCCTAAGTAGAAAAAAGGTAAAGAGCCTTTTTGAATATCTAGAGTGCGATTGATAATGCCAACTCTTCTACCATTACAACTTTCTGCCACCATGAATGAGCTTTTTTGTCTATTAACCTTCTGCCCCGAAGCCCTCTCATACAAAGAAAGAAAATTATTAACCTCAGAAAGAGAATTTTTCAGCCCTCTTGTGAAGATAATTAGGTCGTCCGCAAAAGCCAAATGTGACAATGCAAGAGACCTACTAGGAGTTCCATAAGCTGCAATTGCTCCATCCCTCACCAAACTTTTCAGAGTTCTTGTCATAGTTTCAGAAACTATAATGAACAGGTATGGCGACAATGGATCTCCCTGTTTGATACCCCGGGAAGATTGGAAAAATCCAACAGGACCACCGTTGATGAGAACCGAGAACCAGCTATTTCTAAGGTTATTCATGATCATCAACACAAATCCTTGCGGAAAACCAAATTTGAGCAAGACTTTCTCAAGAAAATTCCATTTAACTCGGTCAAAGGCCTTCATCATATCCAATTTCAAAACCATGTTAATACCAGCCACTTTACGACCAAGAAATTGACATAGATCCTGAGCAAGCATTACGTTATCCAATATATCTTTTCCCTCCAGAAAAGCCGATTGCTCCTCAGAAATAAGTTTAGGCAACACCACTTTCAATCTCTCCGTTAGTACTTTAGTGAAAACTTTATTCAAACAGTTACACAAACTTATTGGTCTGTAATCAGAAAAAGTACTAACCAATGTTTTCTTTGGAATGAGAGAAATCAAGGTACTTGCAACTGCTCTTGGCAATGGAACTCCCGCAAAGAATTCTTGGCAAGCACACCACAGATCTTGAGAAATAATCTCCCAGCAACCTCTATAAAAGCTCCCTCCAAATCCATCTACACCCGGAGCTGCATCATCATACAAGGTAAAAACAGTAGCCTTTACTTCCTCCAAAGAAACGGGACTCATCAAAAAAGTACAATCATCAACCTCAATCAAAGGTGAAATGTGCGAAATCAAGGCCAGTTGCACATCTTCTACTTGAACATCCAAATTATCATCTTGCAAAAGCTCTTTATAAAATCTGACCGCCTCTTGCTCAATCTCGGGCATATTTGTAAGGGTTGCACCATCAGCAGTTTGAATTTTGAAAAGATTTTGCCTCATTCTTCTTTCCTTCAATGAGGCATGGAAGTAAGCCGTATTCGCATCCCCTTCTTTCATCCATTTAATCCGCATTTTTTGAGCCCAATAATCATCATGTTCCTTTAACTTGAGAAGATAAAATGCTTTAGCCGCATTCAAAAGAGACCTATCTCGTTCAAGACTGGTCATATCATATAAACTTTCCAACTGTTGAACATTTGCCTCCGCCGATTTAAGGTTTTCAAAAACATCGCCAAAAACTCCCTTATTCCATTCTCGAAGCTTAACCTTCAACTGGCGTAGCTTCAACAAAAAACCATGCATCCCATAATAACCTAAAGGTTGGTCCCAACATTCCTTTACCACGGCCTTGAAGTCACTTCGACGCTGCCACATCTTTTGAAAGCGAAAAACCTTAGGTTTACTCGCAATTTGATGACCAAAAAGATGCAAGATTGGGCTATGGTCTGATGTAGTACGATTCAGGTTCTCTACTGAGGAAACGGGAAAGAGCTCATTCTATTCTTTTGTGAAGAGAACACGGTCAAGTTTCTTAGCAATCCAGCCAGTACTTCGAGTTCCTCCCCAAGTGAAGTCTTCTCCTACAGCCAACAATTCCATCAAACCGTAGTCCTCAATGCAAGTATTGAAATCAGTCATCGCAACGTTATCTTGGACAGAGACTCCCGAGTATTCTTCCAAAGTACGGATCACATTGAAATCCCCCCTATCATCCAGGCCGATGTCAAGTGGAGATGCCAAAATGTTATCTTATTCTGCCATAAAGCTTGACGAGCGAGTCTAGTAGAACCTGCATACACTGCAGAGAAGAAAAAAATATATGGAACCGAAACATGTGAAGCCTCAAAGTGTAGAACTTGAGCATGAGATTCAAGTAACGTAGTTGTAACCTCGTTTGAGCAAAAGACCCAAATTTTGCTGTTATCTGAAGAGAAGGCCGAATGAAACCCTAACAGGCGTCGAATTTCCTCCAAATTATTCACCGCCAACATGGGTTCCATGATCATAAGAATGGAAACTTTATTAATTTTTAGCAGAGCTTGCAAACGACGTTGCGAGGCTTGATTTCTAATACCACAAACATTCCATATAAGTTGTCCAATCATTGGAAATTATTGGGTAAAAAAGAGAAGGACACTGATTTAATGCAACCGTGTTGACCTTTTCAAGGCCACTCCTGCATGTAATTCGGCTAGCTCAGCCTTCGTTTTTCGTCCACGTTTCTTAGGTAACGAGACAAACCCTTGTGCTGTCACTCGCTCTTGGTCCTCATAAACGTCCATGTCCCCTTCAGACCAGCTTTCCTGCTCAACAATTATTGTTTCACCAATCTCAGAATTTTTCTCAATCACACCATCATCAGCAAAATCACTGACCGAGAGAACTGTATCATTATCCAATGCAGATAGCTCTTTCTGGAAAGCTTCCAATGTGGATAGTTCCGGCCCCAAATCCGCGGATCCTTCTTGCTGCGGTGGAAGTGACGCATCATTCTGTCTATTTTCAGAATTTTCAGTAGGCTCTGAGTCTTCCAAACCATCCTCCACTGTCACATCTTCAACAATCTCACCTTCTTCCTCTTGAATTGTATCGAGGACAGCAAACTTATTTGCCGACGTCGCTACCACTAAATTCAGTGAGTCGCGAGGCTGATCATCACTGGAATACTCCGTATTCTTCTTGATACCCGTTTCTTTTTGCTTGGGTGGAGAGCTCTCAATATCCACCACAATTGTGTTCTTCTCTTTTTGTGTTAAGCCAGAAGAAGACGGCTTTTCAGACGGTACATTCATTGACTGTGGGCTAGGGTTTGCCAATGGCAGTCGCGACTGAGAACAAGATCTGCGGGTTAAGAAACTCAATCGGCAGTTCGTGTAAAGCCACCCAAATTGGAACGACAGGGGGGTCCATCAAAAACCGGGTTGCCATTTGAGAATACGCATTGCATAGCCTTTGATATTCCACATTGTTTGAACCCAACAATGTTGAAAGTCTTCTTCCCTTTCAAACCATATGAGAATGTGCCTAGGGTTCATGAGACCAATATGAAAGTCTCCCTGAAACCCTACCTTCTCCAATTCGCTTCTTACTTCTTCCATTTTGGGCCTACCGTAAGAAAATTTTCCCACCAAATCCCATCGATGAGGGGCGATGAGTTTTTCATACTCGTCATCTTCCAACTCCAAAACCGGCGCTCCATTGACTTACGTTACTTGCTTATACTATTTGTTGCCCGCGAACTTGGATTCCCCAGGTTGTTTGAAGAAACTTGCGAAGCTTCGGGGCGGACCAGTGGGGTCTGCCACAGAATGGCCGCCGGCCATTAATACCGGCGGGTATGGTTTACAATGTTACAGTGTTGCGTGAGAGAAGAGGAGAGAAGCAAATAAATAATGCTAAGGCTAGAAGAGGTTTAAGTAATAAGTATTAAGTTAGATTTTGTTGCTTAAAATTTTTATCAACATTTCAACAGTATTTAATCAATTAAGTGGTTAGATTGTTTGCTTTTTGTTATTACCTCTATCTCAATAAAATAGTTTACATTGAAGTTTTATAATTGTATTATTCTTTTGGGACAAAGAGAGTAGTATACCCCTCCCCCCCCCTCCCCCGGGTTCTTATTATAACCTAATCTGATTTCTCCTGTATTTTTTTCTTGAAAGAAAGAACTTATCCATTAAACTTGGTAGAATTCAGCCAACTTTGATTGATACAAGAAACTTGTTATAGAAGACCAAGTTTTAACATCCCATGATTGTGATTTCAAATGGTTAGTGATTATGTGCAACTCCTTTCTTTAAACGGGAAATCCAATATAAAGCTGAAAAGTTTAACTCCACCAATAAGTTTATAAGCTGAAAGTGTTGAGCAATCGGCTTCCCCCACCACTGCTAAAATTGCCACAGAGGAATCACCCAATATGGTTGCATCTTGGAGATTAAGATCCTTTAAAATTGAGTAGAGCTTTCTTTAAGGTCAAGAATTTGGCCAATTCAGACAACCATGGATACAACACCATTTTGCTAAATGAAAGCCTCCATCCTCATTCTTCACATATACACCAAGTCCAACACATTTATTGATTCAAGAAACAACCCCTTCAAAAAAGAGGTAGGTCTTTAAATTATTTGGAACCAGCAGATGCTAGGATCCAATAGCTGGTATTTCCACGAGTGGTGACTTGCATCGGTATTAAACACATATGATAAAACCCTATCATCTCCAAATAAGTATCCGTTCCTTGTGAATCAAAGGGCATTGCAAATCACAACAAGATATTTCGCCACAGATTTATCAGCTTTAAGTATCACTTGCTTAACCAAAGATCCCATCATGGCTGATGAAACATAAAGATACAATCTCTGACCCCGGTTGCAAACCATACATTTGTTGCGAAACTGCACCAAAAAAATATGTGAGGTGTTGAGGCAGTTCGTGTGGAATAAAGAGGACAACAAGGATCCAGATCACATACTGATCTCTTCTCTAAATTTTCTAAGGATGGAAGAGAGTCAGTTGTACATCTCCACTGGAAGTGAAGAATTCTATTTGGTAATCGATGTTTTCAAAGCTTTTTCAGAAGATTACATGACCAATTGACAGCACAGTAGCATGACGAAATTCACCAGTCAAGATAGCTATTTGAATTAGAGTGTTATAAGTTGACTTAACATGCCATTATGTGAGTGATGCCAACCCATATATTCGTCAAAGAAGAGTATCAAGAAATCATGGACAAGATATAATCAGCTTCGTCAGTCTTGAAAATCCTTCTGGCCAATTCTTGCTTCCATCCACCTGTTTTTGAATTAATCAAACTCGATACATGTCACGTTGGAGGCAAAATTGACAGAGGACTGTGTGTTTGAGAATTAGCTAAACATAGAATGCAACGGTCCATCCATATCCTCTCATTTCGGCCTGATTAAATCTGCTTACAACATCCCAAAAGTATAACATTTCTACCTTCTAAAATACTTCTCCAAGTAAAAGATGGTCTTGAACCTGACAAAGCATCTAAAATAGAACCAAATGGAAAATATTTAGCTTTTAAAATTCTTGCTAACAAGGAATTTGGGTTAGTAAGAAGTCACAAAACTAGCTTACTGAGCAACGAGGTTGAAGCTCTTCAGATCTTGAAATCCAAGACCTCATATAACTTTCAATTACACCATTTACTTCCAGCTTGTCCAATGTATTTTCCTTCTATTATCCACTTCTCCCCACTAGTAATGAGGTCATTGATGTAAGCTCTTCGATTGTAGAATCTAGCAATTTGAAACAAGACATTGTGCACGTTGGGATTGCTTGGATAACACTTTTGATCAAAATCTCTTTGCACGCAGCAGGTTTTGTTCTTTCCAGCCTTTAATCCTCTACCAGACACGATCTTTGATTGAATAAAATAGATCTCGCTTATATATTCCCGATACAGACGACAATCTAAGGCATTTTCCATGCTTGAAAATCCTTGATGTTATTTGTGCCGCCACTGCATTATCTGTGTTAGGTCTAAAAACAACTCTTGATTTGTTGTAGTTGATCCTATCACCTAAGACACATTCATAGAGTTGAATAGGAAACTTGAATTGTAGAGATTCAACTTCTATAGCATGGCCTACAAGAAGAGTATCATCTGTGAAAAAAGATGTGAAATAGATAGAGCTCTGTAACTAACAGCAATGCCATATATTTTTCCACAACCTAAGATCTTTAAGAATACAAGAAAAATAATTGGAACATATGATAAATAGAAATGGAGACAGTTGGTCTCCTTGCCTAATTCGTCTCTGTGGCATAAAACTACCAAATTGCATTCCATTAGGAAGAAATGCAAAAGAAACAATGGATTAACAGTGAAGTAGCAAATCCACAAAGCCATAATCTAAACCTAAAGCTCTCGTGAGTTCTTTAAGAAAACCCAATTCTACTCTATCAAAAACTTTACTCATGTCAATTTTTATTCACATTAGACCTAGGTTTCCCGGTGTTCTAATTCACATGTAATAGTGCATTTCATAAGCAACAAAAATGTTATCAATTATAAAACAAGCGGGAACAAATGCAGATGAGAGTCTTTTGATTGAAAGTAAAATGTTACGGACTCTATTAGCAAGTACCTTGGATACTAATTTATATACAACATTGCACAAACTTATTGGTCTAAACTGAGAGATAAAATTAGGTATTTTAACTTTAAGGATAAGAAATATATATGTGAAATTTATAGAATGTTTAAGAGGTTTTTATTTAAAAAGTCTAAAACCAATTTAGTAACATCAATACCAACAATATGCCAAAATTTTTGAAGCAAATAGGGAACATATTGTTAGGACCTGAAGATTTGAAAGGAGACTTTTTTTTAAGAGCATGTATAATTTCAGGTCTAGTGAATGGCAACGTGAGTCGAGCATTAACCTCTGAAGTCACTCTTGTCGAATTTTACTTAGTGTTTATTGAATATTAGTTCGTGAGGGATTGTATAAGTAAATAGTTCACCAAAGTAATCAAGAATGATCTTTTCTAAATCCTTCTTTGCGGAACACTCACAACCGTCCTGATTCTTTAAAGAAGAAATATGATTAACTTCTTTCCTTTTGTTCGCATGAGCATGGAGAATTTAGTATTTGGTACACCTTCACGATACCGGTATTGTTATTTCATTTACTTCCAACTCAAATCATCCTAATCCACCTACACTTTCAATTTCGTCTCAAGTCACAAATTCTTTTTTTTTTTTACATTCATCAATAACACCTTGCTCAAGTGAACTGGTTGTTTTCTTCAAAGAATTGATTTGCTTAAAAATCTCTCTCACTTGTTTACCACCCCAATTCACCAATCCAACAACACAATAAATGATTTTCTCAGGTAAATCTAATGATCTACAATTCCTATAGTCTTGGATTACTCTTTCACAATCCGTTGATTTACCCACATAGCTTCAAACCAAAACATTCTTGGACGCGTTCTTCTAATTGTGATTTTTTTTTTGTAGATTAAACCGAAGGTAAAGTAATAGATGATCAGATGTTATTGTAGGACAATGCTCCACCTTCTTGGACATGAAAAGGAATTCCAGTGGTCATTGCATACAACCCAATCAAAAAGTGACCTTTGGTTATGAGGAACCACTCTAAGTGTGTTCCATGTAAACTAAGATCATAATATTTCATATCTGATAAGCCACAACCATCTAAAATACCACGAAACTGATTAGTTTGCTAGTATGAACATCTAGCACTTCATTAAAATGATTAGTTTAATGAGATTTAATGATGATACAAAATCTCATTAAATTTTCCATACATAACCATGGAGTTTCTGCATTAGAGTTTAAACTCTTTAGTTGATGTCATGCCATACGACATTTACTCACCATAAAGACATCTCAATGTACACTTTTGATCCATAAATTCAACATTAACATCAATGTGATGATCACATATTTATTTTAAGTCCACTGAAATTGTTTTTCTCCAAAGTGGAGCTAGACCTCCAGAATTGTTAACTGCAATCCATTCATATTTATAGTACTCTTAAGCTTATCAATAGTGGAAGAACATATTTAGTCTCTATCAGAAAGACCAAATCATGCGACTTGTTGGGCAAAAACTTACGCAATTCTTGAATTGTTCGAGGGTTCCTGAGTCCTTATGATACTTGTATCTCTTGGTGGGATTGGCTAGTTGCGACCAATCTCCGCAACCTTATGATTGGTTACATCATCATCAAAACAATTCTCAATCCACAATGACTCCATTTCCATCATAGGGCACAATGAATCCAATTTTATTTATTTTTTTTAAGGTTTTCCACAACGGTTTCCTCAACCTCCTCTATCAACAGTCTTCGTTTCGCATGAGTACATAGAAGAGTAGTGATTTTGGGGTTTTGAGATTCAGGAGAAGACACCGTATAGGGTTATTGGTATGTTCAGTGTTGGATGTCAAACTTGGTTGTGGTTCATTAGAATATAACATTGTGGTTTGAACTGAGTACGTAATAGTATGGGAGGAAGGATTTCGAATTATGTATAGTTGATGATGATTTGGGATGTAGTTGGGTGGTTATCATTCATGCAAACATGTGACAAACCGCTTTGGTCAGGGGAATGTGGAAAATCACGGTTTGAGTTAGTTTTATTTTGTGAGGAGGAATGGTTGTGGTGGGATGATCATGCTAGTGGAGGTTGTAGCTTAAGTTGTGATAGTTGGAAATTGCTATGGTGAGATGATTTAGAGTTAACATTCATGGTCAAGAAGGGATGTAAGGTGGAGAGACATTCAACCAGGGACTATACTCCGACGACCCTGATTTAGGATTGAAAGATAACAATTTTGCATTGCAACCATCTTTAACATGGCCAATCTTGCCACAATAATAACAGGAATCTGGTAGTTGTTCATAAGAGATTCTCTAAGATCTGCCACCATTCATATAGGTAAAATTCAAAAACTGACGAAGAGGAATATCTAGAATCATGTTGATACGGAAGAATCTAGCAATGTAACTTCCATCATTATCAGCATTGGCTTTCAAAAAAGATCCCAATCTATTTCCAGAAATTCAGCAATAACGTTATTGATACAATAAATCAGTAATCCATAGAGATGAACTCAACACGAAAATGAGTTAAATTTAGATCTTCTACATTAACCCCATTGCTTATTTTCTCTAAAACCAGAAGTTCACTTTTAAACCTAGTTTTATAAAGCCAAGGGATTTCATATTCCATTCATCCCATATACGATAATGATTGGAATTGAAACATAACAATGGTATTAGCAAATGGCTTGCTGAAAATATCAGAACGAGTGTACCACATACCTTTGAACTTTTTTCTCAATCTCATTCACTAGAATTATACTTGGTGTAAGTACTTTGACCACCAAATAATGAGTCATTGGGATTTGTATCGGGATCAAGAGATTGCCGAAAGAATCTTTATCATTGAGTGATAGGCTTGAATAAACCGATAACGACAATCAAAATAGATACCGACAACAAGCATAAGCAAAATCACACCAAAAGAACAACTGAGGTGGATCCTCAATGGAAGTTGCCTAACTGGAACTGCAACTTGTGAACTTGTAACAAATTGTCTTAAAAACATAATATACTTTGAAAAAAATTTAGGTTTAGATTTCTCTTGAGTTTCATTATAATTATTTTTTTTTTGGGTTTTCCTAATTGAAAATAAAAATTTTAAAATTATTTTTAATTAAAAGAATAAAATAAATAAAATTTAAAAGAAATCAAAATAAGTTAGTGTATGTTTAATTGAAAATCTGTTAAACAAATAATTTTAAACATTAACTACTGTATCAAATCAAGCCACTAGAATGCAACAATTATTTGTAGGGAGGAAAATTGCTAATTTTATAAGAGATTGGGAAGAGATGTTGCTAATTTATCAAAGATTGGGAAGCAAACGATATTTCCATATCTGGAAGACCCATCTGAGTCTTGAAGGCCCGTCGATTACTTCATTGTAACTTCGGATTCATGATACGAATGGACGGTGAATTATCCCCAATCGTACAACTCTGTCCATAGGTAACAAACCCATCAACAACAGTTCAATCTGCAATCTCGCTCATCAATCTTCCAGACGACTGAAAATTAACAATGGCAGTGCCCAGTACTTGGGCCACGGCTGGACACTCTTCTACTATCTCTATTCACCAAATAAGGCCATCCCGTTCTTTCTCATCATCATCATCATCATCATCATCATTGGCACATGAAATTTTCTGCAAGGATAAGAAGTCCTTTTGTTTGAATTTATCCAGTAGTAGAGTGGTTTTGTCTGTTAGGAGTAAAAAGTCAAAAGCTTGTTGCCTTTGCGGCAATTTTGAGAGCTCGTCTTCTGGCACCAGTTGGGATGAAAACACCAATTCTCCATCTTCAGCCTCATCGTGGGATTGGAATATGTGGGCTCGCCACTTTTCGGAGATTGAACAAGCAGAGAACTACGCTTCTCTTTTAAAGGTTTATCTTCTTATATCTAAGCAGTCGTATGATTTTCTGGGTTTTTTTTTTCGTTCCCCCCCCTGTAAGAGCTTTGTTTTTTGCTTTTTACTTGAGGGATTTGTGGTCATGATTTTTATCAATTCCATCTTAAGTCATATGCCTTTTGAGTTGAGAACATCATCTGCTGTCCTTTTCCTCCTCTGTTTCGGTTGTAGATTGAGTGATGTGATTGCCTTTTGATGATATTCCTAGTGCAATTCCAGTTAAAGATTTTGAGAGATGAAGTTGAACAGGACTTTCTACCACATAAACTTGATGTATAAATTCTAATTTTGCGGTTGATTAGTGTAAGAACATACATTCTATCCCTTTTGCAGTACATGAATTATCTGTAAGGAAGTAAAAGGAGATTGTTGAACATAGGATGAAGTTATAATGTTAGTGGCTTTCTACGTATCATGGTACATTTTAGTGCTCAAGTTTTCTCATGCAACTCGCATCATAACCATAAAAACTGCCCCGTTCTTGAAACTTGAAATGGGTTTTTATTTTGTTTAGGAAAATAGTTGTTCTTTCATTTTTTTAACTATCCACCCAAGGAATGTGGCAGTAGCTGAATGCGATCTCACATTTGAATTTTGTGAGGCGCTTCTTCCGTTCTGATTGTTATATCAACGTGAAATAAAGAAGTCCAGTGTGTTAGACATTACGGGTTTGGGTTCCTTCTTGCTTTTCAACTTTCATGAGGGTAAGATGTCCTTCTGAGAAAATATCATTCCTGCACTTCTCTTTCCCTCTCACGTGTAAAACCAACTTTTGAAGACAGGTGTTTATTCTTCTCTGCCTCTCCTATTTTTCTTTGTTTCATTCTTTCTGTATATTATCTGCTTTTAAAGCTTTCTTAAGGAGGAGAATAATTGGCTCTCCAGATAAGGGGACATCTATGGTGAGAGATGATGGATGTTAAACAATGAGTTTGTTGTCTTGTCGCAACAATGATAGTAATTAAAATTTATGACAGCAATGATTTATCCAGTCCCAAAAGTGTTTGCGTGATAGTATTAGAATTTTACGACGACAGTGATTTATCCAACTTGTAAAGAACTTCTTTAGCACTATGTATGCAAAAGCACTTAGAAGATTTACCCAACAACTTTGTTCCTCGCCTTAAGAATGCTGCATAAAGTATTAAAATGTATGTTGCCATGCTGATTGATGTCTGATTTGAATTTATTCTGGGGCTAGCAGTTTGTGTCCTTTCCTTTGCATTCAACATCCAGGAGCTCAGACTATGTTGGCAAATGAAAGTATCAAGAATTAGAGAATTTTAAGTTTTGTGGTTAAATAGGACAAGAAGTGATGCATGTGGAATGGTGGTGGACTTCAATATGTCTAAATGGTACCTGAAGGAAAAGAGTATGTATAGTTGTGCAACCAAAGTCTGTGCAGTTGACATTTGAGTACAGAGCAAAATTATCGGGAATTTATCTTTTTGAGCAGGCTGTAGGATCCATTTGAGTAACAAGCATTGTTTTGGAGTTTTTTTTTTTTTTTTAAAAAAAAGAAATGGCAAGGAATGCAACTGTTTTAAGGATTTAAACATAGTAAACAAAACAAAATGATAAACTTATAAGTAGGATAAGTTCAAGTGGTAATGTGCATGGTCTTTTGATAATGTTGTGACATTTAGTTGCGGAGACATTAATATCACTCAGTCCTCTAAAGTCATTTAGTTGCTATTTACCTACTCAATTTGAAGTTAACATTGCTAGTATGAGTCATTAGTATCGCAAGAAAATCTCTAGCCTTCTCTAGGGTGTCTGAGCAGTTTGATTCTTCTTCACCCTGAAGCTTGTAATAAGGCCCATTAGTCAGTTTTCTTAAAACATTTACAAGGGCCTTATGTTCCCAGAACCTTATCCTCCTTTGCTGATGCAATTATCAGTTAGAAAATTGTGTTAACCATTTCTTAAATCATATGTCATAAATCGAAATTGTGGTAAAGAGTAGGAAAGAGTTATTGAAACTAGATTTAGACAAGAAAAAAGCATGGTAGAAAATCAATTTGGCTCTATGCGAGGAAGACCTACATAAAAGACATGTTTGAGAATGTAACATATGTAAGCATCCAACAGCGATATCGAGTGAATTCCCAATCTCTATACATTTACATCAGGGGTCAGCTTTGAGCCCTTATCCTTTCGCCTTAGTATATTCGAGATTTCTATATATTTGCAAATAGCTTCAGACGATCTGGCTAATTCTATATACTTCTATATAATTTTCTTCTATTATAAAGGCGTAAAGGCGAACCTGTAGGCCTGTCCCAGAATGTACGTTATTTGCTAATGTTACACTGTTAATATTATATTGAGATTATGCCAAGATAAAATCTTGGAGGAAGCACTAGATCTAAATATATTACTGTAAGTAGGTCTAAAACAGAATATGTGAGATGATACTTTAGTAATTGTTGGAGTAATAATACGGTATGTCAAAAATGGAGCATGATTTAAACACATCTTAGAGTTTTTAAATATTTAGGATTTTTTCCAGAAGAAAAGGAAAACGTTGGTAAAGTTGTTATTCATAGAAGTCAAACAGGTTGGTGCAAACGGCAGATTGCGTTATTGATACTTTGTGCTCGTATGTACCCATTGTAATTGAAAGGAAAGTTCTATAGAATTGCCGTTTGACCAACAGTGCTTTATGGAGCAAAGTGTTGGGCCACTAAGTATGAAAATCAATTAAAAAAAATGCGGCTGGCAGAGATTAGAGTGTTGAGATGGAAGTGCAGGAATACTGTCCTAGACAAGATTAGAAGAGTGTGTTAGGGAAAAAAGTGGGAATGGCTCCTAAGATGAGAAAAGTAGAGAATCATGATTTTAATGGTTTGAACAATGGATAGGAGCTGGAAGAGTCATCATTGGCAATTCTTTCAGCTGTATGCTAATAATGGATTACATCAAAATGACTCGTCTAAATTCTGGGACTTCTTAATTTTGGTGAAGTTTCTGGAAATCAATACATCAATGTACCAATGCATCTTGGGTCGTACTACTTAAACAGCCTGTTTGTACTGATATACAGGGGTGTACATCTTGACCCCCCAGACCCCGACTGAGTTGGGATTATACTGGGTATGTTGTTGTTGTTGTTGTTTGTTGTTGAACAATGGTGTAGGAGATGCTATAGTCAGATGTGTAAAATTGTAGAATCACTAACTCAAATTAAAAGTGGCTGGGGTATGCCAAAAGACCTGAAAAGAAATGATTTTGAATTATTTAAGGTTGAATGAAGACAAGTGTGTTGATCGATCACGAGGGCTACATATGATCCTCATATCTGTTCTACATAGTGGATATAAATAGTTGTTTTTGGGAAAATCAGAAAATTGCTCAGTTATGACAACCAGTTACTACCCTGAGCTCTTTCACTCCGGAATCCTCCGTGCAGACCCTCAACTGTTTGATGGATATCCAAGCTGACACTGATCTTTTGTAATTGACCATTCTTGTGGTTTCCTGCTATTCCTGGAATAGTAATTTGAATTCATTTCCTAACATTGTCTCTCTTGTAACAGTGTGATGCTGTTTTACGTTTGATTGTTTTTGAATTGCATATTTTCTCGTCATTGTATCTTTGCTTTTACTGGTTATGAAGCAGATTGGCAATGCCTACAACTGATACATGGGAGCAGGGTGATATGATGCCAGTTAAAGTAGATTTGAACTTCTGTTTCTTCTTTAAATTTGTCAGTTGATGTGATTTATTCTTTGTTGTAATGAAAGCAGGGCACTGATTAGAATTGTGGCTTCTCGTTTTGCTACAAGCAACAATTTGTATTCGTTGCTACCTTGAAATGCTGCTCTGCTGACTGCTGATTGTTTCTTAAATTTACAGTTTCAACTAGAAGATGCAATAGAAAGGGAGGACTTCCAAGAAGCTGCTAAGTTGAAATCTGGTATTATCGAAGCAACATTGAAGGATAGCATTGCTGAAATTATGTTAGATTTGAAGGTGAACATTGATTAAACAACGTGTAACCGTCACCCAAGCGAAAGGTGGATATGAGTTGTTTTCTTATGATTGATTGCTTTCCTCTATTTCTATTTTAGAAAGCTGTAGACGATGAGCGCTATCATGAGGCTTCAAGATTGTGCCGAAGTACTGGAAGTGGGCTGGTATTCTCTTTTCTAAGAACATTTGACCTCAATCATGACTTTAACTAATGTACATTTTCATTTTTACCTTCAGAAAGTTGTATTATGCTTGTGAACATGCTTATAATTTATGTTCTCTTTTTCAAGTCACATTTTATCGTTCTCGGTTTGCTACTGCTTTTGTTGCCGTTCAATAGGGATATATAACTTCCCCAGAATATGTTAATTATCTAGATGGGGTAATGGCTAAGTGTTAGGTCAATAAATTCTTGGTGAGATATGGAAAATATTCTCATTGGAAAATTTGATATGTATAAGTTCCTTAGAATAAATGACTTAAGCGAGAAAGCTAGCCTAATTTTTCCTTCTTATTTAGAGAAACACTAAACTAACATTCCTCAGCTGTATTTATTGCTTTAGTATTAATTAAAAGAGTGCCTCGGGCCTCAGCTCTTTAGTTTCTTGACCATTGGCATTGTTGAGGGAGTATTGTAACACAAGATTTTCATTTTCTTCCATTTGTTTTTTATTAGCTTTGGCTAGTTATTCCCTTTCTTGCCATGGTTATGTATGGAAAGATCGATGCGAGAAAGGCTCTTGATTGCGAGGTGGGTGGGGGCTTGGAAAAAAGGGGTTTGTTAAAGATACGCAAAGACTCAACAGTTGTGAGATTAGAAAAGTTTTAAGTTATCAAATGGTTAATTCTATTGATTTAAGAGACTTGCATCCTGGCCGTGTAGAGGTTATTAATGATGATTTGCACAACGATTTCTGATTCGGCTCCAGAATTTACTCAAGTTTCTCATGTTATTAACTTATCTATTACTATAGGTGACGCAGGACAAAACGTGGTGGTTAAGAAATCAGAACTTAGGCCGGTTAGATAGTAATATGCACCGGAAAATCAATAGAAAACTGTAGGGAATAAGGGTAGAAATCACAGGAAAACAGGGATAATTAGTAGGAAGAAGAAGAAAACCTAAGAATCACTCTTAGGGCCCTTTGGCGTCACACCGCAGGATTCCTTGGCGTCACACCAAGGGTTTAGTTGAGTCACACAACTGTTGTTGAAAGCAAAAGCTCGCAGGAATTTTATTAATCTCATAACTGTCTAAAACCCTCAAACGAGGTACATATATATAGACCTAAAACTTAACCTAAACCAAAGACTACTAGGAATCTCATCTAATTTCCTTTTTATTCCAAGAAAATCCTGCAGCATAGCTAATATACTAAAATACCCTTTCCTAAAACTTATTACTGAGAATAATATAATTAAAGTGCTACTTAAATAAAGGATTAACTTAACCAAAGTCCTAACACTTTGGTTCCTTCCTTGGATAGTGATGATCCTGGCATAAGAATGGAAGAACCTACTGATAGAGTCCTTTGACCCTTTCCTTGTCCGCATCATTCTCCCCTGGTTCAAAAAAACTCACTTGAGTTTTAAAGAATCAAAGAATGAAGAAATCAGAAGCCTGAATTTTGTCCATCGATCTATCACCATAAACATCACAACAAAATCCTCTTCGCATAGTCTCAGGTAGGAAAAATAAGACTTGAAATCTGTTCACTTGCTTGTTGTCATGATCTTTTCCAAAAACAAAATCAATCTTTGGAATTCCAGGGTCATAAATCTTGAATTGAACTAGTTCAGAAAGATGGTCAGTTTCGGACTTCATGAGGATGTGCTTCAGGTTATCCCTGATGTCAAGGCCTTTGAGTAACAGGGTGTGATCTTGACAAAAACCAAGATATTTCATGAACTGATTGTCCAAGATTCCCTTTACTGCAGAAACTTCCGCCAACTGTTTTTGAATTTCATCATAATTCAGAACATGTACTCCAGTTTGCCTCTCATCAGATTTAGGAAGTGTACAAATCTCTGGTGAGACATTGCTCTCATTAAGCTTACTTCGCTGAACTTCCTGAACTACAACATCTTCCACCAGTTCATTCATGGCTTCTCCTTTATGATCCTCTTTAAAATCCTGACCAGCTGTAGCTTTGTTTGTAGCTTCCTTTCTAAACTCCTGAACCACATAGACTATAGGATTATTGTCTTGTTGAACCACATGATCAGTAAGTTCATCATTGGAATTTTCTAAAGATGCCTCTGCATTCTGAACCTCTGAATCTTCCATTGTAGTCTCCTGAGCCGCAAGGACCAGCAAGCTACTGTCTTGAACTAATTGAACAATAGGTTCATCCTTGAACGTTTCTGCAGACTCAACCAAATTTTGATTCTGAACAGCCTCTCTGCACTCATCCTCAGCAATGCTAATGAAAGTATGTGTGAGTCCTAACAAATTAGGTGGTTTTGGAGGTTTTTCTGTCTGAAAATCAATAACATTAAGATCAGGTTTTCCATCTTGAGTAGGACAACTAAGAATATTCTTATCTTGTTCTACTTGATTCTGGACAAACTCAATTGTAGCTTCGGTAGAATTCTGACCAGAAACTTTTTCCTCATCCTTAGTAACCTTCAGATCGCTAACTGCAGCTGAAACCTCAGGAACCACTTGATCCCTTTTTGGCTTAGTTGAGCAGTGCTTCATCATATATTCATCAGTCTGGGGATTCAAAACAACTTTTAGGTTGTTGAAGCTAAAGGAGTATGTGTTGGCTTGACCATCATTCTTTACTTCCCGATCATATAAACAAGGTCTTCCTAAGATTATATGTGAAGCATTCATGGGAATAACATCACACCATACAGAATCAACATACCTACCTCTTTTGATGTCTACCAAGCAACACTTCGTCACAGGAATAGTTGTGCCATTAATCCAACCAACCTTATGTGGGTATGGATGTGGCTCTGTTTTTAAATTCAGCTTTTCCACAGTGGATTCAGAAACCAAATCAGCACTACTACCGCCATCTATAATCACTTTCTTGACAGATTTCCCACAATAAACCAATGTCTGAAAGATTCCTGTCCTTCTCCAATCTTCTTCTCCTATTTTTGGTGCTCTAGTAATTCGCCAAATTAGTGAAAGATAGGACATATCAACATCGTCTTCTACCTCTTCCAAATCATCAGTATCAAACATGCCCATCTCCTCATTATCATCATTATACTCTTGCTCATCTTCCTCAATGATTTCTGAACTACAAGGCAAATTAGGATAACCTATGCTATGAGGATTCATAGCTGTTGATCTCTAAACCCTTTTGAAAACAGAATTCATCAGGAAAATCAATTCAAATCTGATCTGAAAAGTATTTAAACCCCAGGAAATTCAGCTCAGATGCCAAATTGACGCAGGACAAAACGTGGTGGTTAAGAAATCAGAACTTAGGCCGATTAGAGAGTAATATGCAGCGGAAAATCAATAGAAAACTGTAGGGAATAAGGGTAGAAATCACAGGAAAATAGGGATAATTAGTAGGAAGAAGAAGAAAACCTAAGAATTACTCTTAGGGCCCTTTGGCGTCACACCGCAGGATTCCTAGGCGTCACACCTAGGGTTTAGTTGAGTCACACAACTGTTGTTGAAAGCAAAAGCTCGCATGAATTTTATTAATCTCATAACTGTCTAAAACCCTCAAACAAGGTACATGTATATAGGCCTAAAACTTAACCTAAACCAAAGACAACTAGGAATCTCACCTAATTTCCTTTTTATTCCAAGAAAATCCTGCAGCATAGCTAATATACTAAAATTCCCTTTCCTAAAACTTATTACTGAGAATAATATAATTAAAGTTCTACTTAAATAAAGGATTAACTTAACCAAAGTCCTAACACTTTGGTTCCTTCCTTGGATCATGATGATTCTGGCATAAGAATGGAAGAACCTACTGATAGAGTCCTTTGACCCTTTCCTTGTCCGCATCAATAGGCTTAAACAGTCCCTCTATCATCTAGTTAAGAAGAGTAACCGTAATTTTGGAGGAATTTAATTAATTAATTTTCTAGACTATATATTTCAACAGAGTTACTAATTTACATATGATACTTAGCTTAGCACATGGTACTTTACACTTGTTTTCCAATTAATAAAACTTAGGATTGAATTTGTAGGATAAGCATAAATATCTCTTCTTGTTGGATTCAAAAATAGGCTTTCCATTCCCCGATGATTTCTTCATTTTTTTCTGTAAGATTGAGAACTCTTGAGGTTTAAAAATATGGGTTCAACTTATTCATCGAATAAGGAATCATATCTGTGTTCAAAAAATGAACTGTTTTAACCCTGTCGTTCACAGTGGGGCTGCTATAAAACCAAAAACTGAGGAAAGTAATTGTTCAGCTTTTTTGAATGTTAAGTTCTCCTTATGAAATTGATCTGATGATCTCTGCATTTCAGGTTGGCTGGTGGGTAGGATATTCAAAGGATTCTGGTGATCCCTTTGGTAGAATCATCCATATTACACCTGGAGTTGGCAGGTTTATTGGTAAAAGTTACAGTCCAAGGTACTAACAGTACTGTAGAAATATCCGCAACTCTGAATTATACTTTTCATTGTGTTAATTTCGCTGACCTTTTGTAATTGCTGCATTTAGACAGCTGATCAACGGATCTCCTGGAACTCCACTGTTTGAAATTTTTGTGGTCAAAGATGCAAACGAGTCATATATCATGCAGGTAACTTACATTGTATTTTCTGTCCGTTGATAGTGCAAAGCTACAATATGAGGAGTCTCAGTGTTTGCTTTCGATGGGAGGCTTTTCGAAATTTTGAGGGATGCAAAAATGTTTATTGGTCCATTTGCGGGCCAATTTTGAAATCTTATTGTTTGCGTCAAGCATCCTCTTGGACCCATACTCATATTTTCTTTGCCTTGAGAACAAATTTATTATGCTATTTTGTACATTAAAGGTATGTTATTTGCCGAAGCAATTGTGTTTTAATTGATAACACAAATTGAGGGACAAGTTTGGAGTTTGAAGGTAGTCACTAGAATCAGAGGTTTCTCAATTTGTGTTTTTCAATCTAGGGGGCATGTGTTAGGAATCTAACGAGTTGAGCATCTTTGTTCTGTCACCCGAGAAGATGAGGAAAGGGATATGAAAATATCATCGCTTACTGGCAGGTTGGAGAAATAGTAGGTCCTTTTGCTGTATATGGTTATTGTAACCTGACACTAATGTTTGAAGGAAAATTTTATAAAACTGGATGGATTAAGACCAGCCGTACTTTGTGGACCAAATTGCTAGGCACTCTTATGCTGGGATGAGAAAACATAAAAGAGAAGAAATTGTTGGTAGCACTGGTTTGTTTATTGGGCTGTATGATTCGTGAATCATTAGGAAGAAAGTGGTGGTCTGTGATATCCTCAATCAAATAAAAAAACATACAAAAAATGCAGGTATGGTGGATAGGATTACCAGGCAAACTGTTAGATGCACCGGTAAACATTTAAGTGTTTGGAAAATTATTGGCTTAAGTTAATAGGTGAAGAAAAAATTGGAATAAATACTAACCTAAAATTCATTCAATGACTAATATTTTCCCATGTCCCATGAGAGACCTATTAACTTGCGTCACATCAGTGTATCCTTTCACCACAATTCTTCCGTATTCTGACGCATGGGACTAGGCACCTCCACGGGGCAGCCTCTAATTATTTCAGCCACCTCCATGGGGCAACCTTTGGAGTTTTCCTAAGTTTCAGTGTTTTGGTTAGAACCACGTGTAACTTTTCATGGTAGGGCACATGAAAAACTGCTCATGTGGAACCTTCAACGAAGGAGTGACAAAAAGATCGTCAGATGATTGTGACATACATCCACTCATGTTGTTATTAAACTTAAATGAAAATGGTGTTGATCAATCAAGTTGGCAACATTTGATCCTAGTACTTGGCTCCACATAATGAGGTCTACTCGTAATTGTTTTTATTAGATAAAAGTAAGCCTTCCCCGTTGTAGTTAAGTCATCATAAGTCATCCTTACACAAATTGAAAACTTGCTTTGATATTCTTAAGAAATTGTCTTTTCTTTATTCATTTTCCTGCCTTTTACCTTTGAAGCAAGAGATTTAATAAATATGTGTGTTTTTATATGTTATTTTAGTTCAAAGTTGAAAGGAAACGTTCCATCTCTTTGTAGACGACGGTTGGCAAGTTTGCTTCAATCATCAAGTTCTAAACTGCTCTGTAGCTTTTCATTTTCTTCTCCCTCTACAAAATTCATAGTTTCTTCCCCTCAGGATGTTTTACATATCTGCTCATTGTTTTTCTCTTGTCGTGCCACAGGTAGTGTTTTTGCAACCAGTCAAAGTCAGTGCAGCGAATTTGAATTTGTCATTTGATTCGAAGTCCATAAAGAGTCAGTCAGTAGTTGCGATTGAGAATACATCAGCCGGTGATGTTGAAGATAGTGCTGAAGAAGATGGAAAAAGTGATGAAAGAGGCTTAGACTTTGAGGTTGCTGAGGATGGAATAAGAAGTGTGGTTAATTTCCTCAAAGATAAAATTCCTGAACTGAAAGTATCAGTTAGATTTAATCCGAAAGAAGATGTAACAGAGGAAGGGGATGTTAAGCAATTGATGGAAGAAGACCATGAAAAAGCAATTTCTACTGAAAGTTCTGATGAGGGAGCTAGTAGTGATGTGGACGACATGCAGCCTGATCAAGTTATTGCTGGGGAAAACAGTGACACTGAGGAAGATGGGAAAGATGTAGATACAAAACTTTTCATTGGTGGGGTATTGCATAACAAAGAAGACAATCCTTCCAAAGATGAGTATATCCGCGTACCAGCTGAAATAAAGGAAATGGAGAAGGACTCCTTTGTGTTACATATTCCTAAGAGTCATCAGGAAAATGATATGGAAGAACCTACTGGCAATAGCAGACCAGATAGTACAGCAGCCAAAGATATTGCCAAACTCATGCCTCCTGATGTGGCAAAGGCATTTTTGAGCTCTAATAAGGTTTCCTCGAAGGTATTATGTGTTACTAAAGATGTAAACTAAAGTAGAAAAATGTTTGGTTTCTTTTCTTCCTCTCATTTTTCCTTTGAAACATCCCCCGCAAAATCATTTTCCTCAGTAGGGGTGATAAATATTGCTAATTTCGTCTTCCTAGGAACCAGAAGATTCTAGCATTCTGTTTGTGTTGGAATATATTTGTTATTCTTACCTATGACATTGGCATCTGCAGAGGTTTGTTCCCTGACCGAGTTTGTAAAACTGTTGCTTCTATAGGTTATCAGAGATATGCGGGAGATAATTCAACTTGCTGTCAGTAAGGCACAGAAGAGGAGTAGATTGTCTGAGGTCACTAACTTTAGCCGGATTACCACCTCTAGAGGTGATTTAGATCCATTTGATGGTGAGTATGTCTCTCTGTCTCTGCATGAGGTTTGCATGCAGTTGTGTATTGTTCTTCAAGCTGGATGGGAAATCCAGTTACAGAAGTGCTGTAGGCAGTTTTCTTTTCTCTTGTTTTAGATTTTGGCCTTCTATTTTTGTCAGGTTTGTATGTTGGTGCTTTTGGACCATATGGTGCTGAAATTGTACAACTGAGACGTAAATATGGTAATTGGAATGCAAGTACTGATGAGAACACTTCGAATATGGAGTTCTTTGAATATGTCGAGGCAGTAAAGCTGACAGGGGATTTGAATGTTCCTGCTGGCCAGGTGTTGTAGTTTTATCTCATTACTGGTTATCGACCTGTTTCCTGTGTACTGTTTGCTTGCTTAAAAATGTAATTCTCTCTGCAGGTCACATTTCGTGCCAAAATTGGCAAAGCAAATCGCATTTCCAATAGAGGGATGTATCCAGATGAATTAGGAGTGGTGAGTTATAAGGGTTATTGGTCACTATATGTGCTAGTGTTGTCTTTCATGTGTTAAGAATGTGAACTGTTATGCTCTCTGCTTTGTAATTTTGGGTTTTTGTGATCATTTTTGCTGCTTAGTGGTAAATGTGTTTTAATTCCCTGTATTTCTTTTATTCTTATTCTATATATACTTTTTTGTTTGAGTATGTAGTAGAAGGGATTTTGATTCACCTGACTTTTGCTCTGATTGTGATTGACCGGATGTGGCAATGAATCTTGTGTTATCACCTGGAAATCGGTCGGGTCATTTTTAGGTTATATAGGAATGTGGCATTTTTCGATGACGATCGACAATTCCGGTCAACCATGGTGGTTGTAAGGAATAATATTTTGTTCATATTATCGAATTAAAAAGTGTTAGAAAAATGAATATGTCGCCCTTTTTCTTTTTGAGAAATGTTCCTCAAGCAAACAACCCTTTTTGTGTACTCTCTGTTGAAGTGGTGATGTTCCTGAACTTCAATGAATCTTGTTCAGTCATTGTCAAAGTTTGGTTCCTCTGATCTCTTTTTCAAGAAGACATGTTGCGGATTTGCCTTACTCCATCTGCATTGTAGGTCGCTAACTACAAAGGTCAAGGACGAATAGCAGAATTTGGGTTCCGAAATCCAAAATGGGTTGAAGGCGAACTTTTGCAGCTGAATGGAAAGGTTGAGTTTTCTGTCAGAATTTAGTTTCGTATTTCTGGTAATTTACTCCTTTCCCTTTCCCGGGTATAATAACTTAACAAGTGTCTATCTCGCTCTCTCGTTTCATACAGGGCATGGGACCATACATCAAAGGCGCAGATCTTGGATTTCTGTATGTTGTACCTGATCAAAGTTTCCTTGTATTGTTCAGTAGATTGAAACTGCCCAATTGAGCCATATGCTTGATTTAGTAGAGTAGACAGAAGTTAAGGACCCCTGAAACTCTGCCAACGGACTTCTGTTTGTGTCTTTCAATCTACCATCAATTTTGTTGGATCCCTAGCAATTTTGGTCTCCTTTGTTTTTTTGTTTTTTTTTTTTTTAACTGAGTGATGTAAATGTAATCTAAACATCGTGCGTGCATATTTCTAGTGGTCTGTAAAATAAAGATGGTCCTCTTTTTCGTTTTACTGTTTTGTTTTCAATGTTATAAATGGAGGGAAAATTTAAGATATCAAATTATTGCATTATGTGGGTAAAATACTCTACTATGTTGGGAAAAATTGTCGTTCCTACTCGAAACTTTACCCTGGTCGTCAATCATACCCAATAGATTTTCGGTTAGCCAACTTTACTCTAATATTTGAAATTTTCATCAATTTTGTCCAATCAGTCTATTTTCCGTCTAAATTAACGGTCTCTATTAATTTTTTAATAAAATAATAAATTTAAATACAAAAATACCTCAGTAATTTGTAAAATTTTTTGAAAATAACCCCTACTTTTTTACTCCTACTTTTGTAAAAATTTTTAAAAATAACCCCTACAAAAACACCCCTACTTTAAGAATATCAAAATAGTCCCTTTTCACTTTTTAATTTCATTTTTCTCTATTTTGTTCCATTTCTCTCAACTACTTTGAATGACCATAAAAGTATATTATATGAGTTTTAAAAAAATATTTATTTATTTTCAAACTCTACCGTAAAAGTTAATCTTTGTATAGTTGTAACGCATGTTTGTATTTATATAAGCATGTTAATCTTTTTAATAATATAGTTTAGCAATAAAGACACTATTTTTCTGATTTATTTTATTCTTCCTAACATAAAAATTAAAAACATTTAAATGAAACTAATATTCCACATAAAAAAAATATTAGCTCAAATAAAAAATAATATATTAGTATAGTTTAGTGTATTACAATTTAACTAGAGAGACTACATGTCATAATATAATTTATAAAAAATATGTTTATACTTATCAATGCGAGGATTTAAGATTTTGTAATAATTATTTGATATATTAATATATCTAACTATAGAGGAAGTCTTACTAGCTTATTCTATATGATTTTAGTTTAAAATAAATAAATGGAGGTAACAATATGGTAATAAGTTATTGTGATAGAAAATAGATTTTAGATTCAAGAAGGAAAATTTATGTTTGGAGGATTTTTTTAAGGTTTTAATTATTTTATATTTTAGTTATTTTTTTATGAATTATATTAATGCAAGTTGTAGTCTCATTAGTTAAATTGTAATACACTAAAATATATTAATATTTTTTTGAGCTAATATTTTATTTTTATGTAGAATATTAATTTCATTTAAATGTTTTTAATATTTATGTTAGGAAGAATAAAATAAATCAGAAAAATAGTGTCTTAATTATTTTATATTTCATTTATTTTTTTGTGAATTATATTAATGCAAGTTATAGTCTCTTGAGTTAAATTGTAATACACTAAAATATATTAATATTTTTTTTATTTGAGCTAATATTTTATTTTTATGTGGAATATTAGTTTCATTTCAATGTTTTTAATCTTTATGTTAGGAAGAATAAAATAAATCAGAAAAATAGTGTCTTTATTGCTAAACTATATTATTAAAAAAATTAAAATGCTTATATAAATACAATCATGGGTTGCAACTATACAAAGATTAATTTTTACGGTATAGTTTGAAAATAAATAAATATTTTTTTCAAACTCATATAATAGACTTTTATGTTCATTAAAAGTAGTTGAGAGAAATGGAACAAAATAGAGAAAAATAAAATAAAAAAGGGAAAAGGGACTGTTTTGTTATTTTTATAGGGGTTATTTTTAAAATTTTTAAAAGTTATTGGGGTGTTTTTATAATTAAATTTATTATTTTATTAAAAAACTAACGGAGATCCGTTAATTTGGACAGAAAATGGGCCGATTGGACGAAATTGGTAAAAATTTTAAACATTAGGGCAAAATTGGCTAACCAAAAATTTATTGGATATGATTGACAACGAGGGCAAAGTTTTGGTTAGAAACGACATTTTTCCCCTACAACATGTTCCAATTACCGTTTGATTTGAATACATCATGTCTCTCATATTTTCCTATAAACCACATGGTTATAAGAAACCATGTAATCAACCTAGAAGTTTCATTCACGAAATGTGTTAAAACTCTAGTGTTTATTCTTTACTAAACAACTCGTTAAGTTCCTCCAATTTTCTATTTTTCACATAAGGCAAAATCGGGCAAAGATATCCATTATTTTTGTCCTTTCTTTGGTTTGAAAAAGTGAAAGAAAGTAAAACCAAAAAAAATTTAAGATAGAGTTTGGGTCAGTCACAGGTTTCACAATAGGGTTGAGCTCACAATAGTTACATGAAGGGTTCGGTTTTGGTATAATTGTAATTCCAAAATTATTGTTTAGTCATTGGGATTGGGTATCATTTTTATCTTTACTATTTAATTTATTAAATTTAAGATGTATAACTTTAATATCATAAATTTCTTAAAACTCAATAGATATTTGTGTTAATTCAATTTTAAGAACTTATATTATTATTATTATTTTTAATTAGATTGATTAAGTTTGTTAGATGTTGAATAGTTTCAGGTTTAAGTTCAAACGTGATACATGAAACAAAATCTAAAATTCAATAAGAGTAATAAATTACTGTAGTTTGATTCAAGTTCAATCATATTTTTAATGTTGATATGATTATGAATTCTGTGAACGTTGAAATTTATAATTTAGGAGAAAAGTTTATCATGAAAGATGAGAAAAGAAAAGAAAAAAAAAACTTGAAATTGGGATCAAATCAAAACGCGACCTCTCTTGAGGTTTTAGAGGATTCCGAATAATGGTGTATCAATATATTCTCTCTAAATCAAAATCTATTAACCAAACATAAAGATTTGGAATCATTTCATTTCCTGATTCTAAGACCACATTAAGTAGGTGAAGCTACTACATGGACGCTAAAACATGTATAATAGAAATTCTACAAAAATTAGTCCTCTATAATAAATTACTAACTCTTATTTTAGTAATAACCTTTTCCGGTCTCAATTTAAGATCACTAAAAAAATGAAGCAAATCAACTAATTAATACGATAATAATTTTTCAATAAATTTTATGTAATCATAGGATATCTCATATTCTAAAACTAATACTTTAAAAACTGTGTTAAACAAATATTGTTGGATTCCTAAAATTTTATTGATTATTAGAGGTTTTCGGTTTAGATATAGGTTAGTGATAATTATTTTAATTAACCATAAATTAATAATTTACTAAATTAAAGAGGGTATTTTTTTTTGCAATTCTATCAAGAAATAAATACTCATATTTTGAGACGTTTCTAGAAATTTTCAATTTAATGAGTAAAATTGAGAATGAAATTTTCTTAGATGTAAATTTCTAATTTTTTTAGATTTTTGCTTTTTTCGCGGGAAGGGGTAACGTCGCGAATCACATTATCATAATATCAAGTACGAAATTGAAAGTTCAAGTATGGATTTGTCATAACAAACCCTTAAGAGATGTCTAGGTAAAATATAGCTAACTCGCAATCTTGTTGCAGTGAGAGATTAAACTCAAAACCTCATCTTTAGAGTAAAGATAGAACTAACACCTAATTCGTTGTTTTTTTTTTTCTTTTTTGATATTTTAAAAAATTATTAATTTATGATTTTGAGGAACATATATTTTTGTAGAAAGTATTTGGAAATTTTTTTACTTCCTCCATTCCAATTCAATAGGTCGATTTAGACATGCACAGAGGTTAAGAAAAAGTAGGTTATGTGATTTATATACTTCCTTTGCTTACTTTTATATGTCACTTTAGGTTTACATAACTATTACGAAAATAATGATTGAGATTTCAATTTTTAAGTATATTGTCTTTCTTGACCCTAATTAAAAGTATTGAAACTCTACAAAAAAATGAAATTGGAGCGTAAAAAATAGGTAGTTGTCATTAATATATATGTTTTTAAAAGTAGAGTGAAGGTGAAATTGAAAAAAAAAATAAACTGATTTAGTGTTGCATTTGAAATGAAATGCGATAGAATAAAATAAAGTTTCGAATTTATCATAATACGACAGATAAAAAAATTAGGTGGCAGTTAATTTTTAAGTGATATTCCCAATAAATCCTTATTAACGGCTAGTAGGTTATTAGTTAAAGAGTGAGAGTAATAGTTGAAATTGATTAATAAAATGTTCTTAATTCCAATGAGAGTAATAAAGGTACATTAGAGAATTTATAGAGAAAAATTAATTTATTGTTTAAAGTGGGACTAAGTTTTCTAACATTTGGAAAATGAAAAGTAAGTCTATTGAATTGAAATGGAGTATGTTATTATTTTATTGATTTGTTTGATTTTTGTCACCAGATATATTTATCATTAATATAATTTACTATTTTATAGAGTATTATTTTGAGAGTTTTTTACTATTATATTGACCAAAATACGAAAAAATAATTAGAGTATTTAGTGAATATATATATATATATATATATATGAGAAACTCCATCCAAAACACTAAAAATTAAGTTTGCACTTTAACAAAGATACCAAATTAGTGCATCATTTTGAGACAATGAATAGTATTGCACCGATATGGTGTAATTGCATGCCCTGTTTTTTGTGTACTAGTTTTTCTTTGTCTAAATACACGATTTGTTATATAATTAAACTTATAAAATGAATCTTGCTATGAAATCTATATCATATCAAAGATCTTGTTGAGATCTTCAAAATAAGACCAACATGACTATAATATTCTTTTTATCTTTCAAAAAATTATTTTTAGCTATTATTAAAATTGAATATGAAAAAAATTGATGCTTTTGCAATTAAATTTAAAAAATTATGAAAGAACCGGTATAATAATTTAATCATCAAACCACAATATTTTAACTATCAAATTAAAAAATAAATTATAACATTTAGAAATTTTGTGTATAAGGTTGGAATGCAAATACATATAGTATAAAAAGATAAAATAACTTGTTATAAACTACAGTGTAATGGTTGAAGTTGTTTTAAGACGGTGCAAACGCAAAGAAAGCAGAAATGCAAAGAAACTGTATATCAAACGCAAAGAAAAAAGGATGTAAATAAAAATGTGAAGAAGAAAAATCCGTACAGGTCACCATCAGAGTGAATCTGATTGTCTCCTCACAAGTAGATCCTCCCACGTTATGAATGTTGGCTCTACCAAAGCTGTTTACTCCTACCAAGGAAAAGGATACACTCTCAAGTCTCAACACTCTCATAAACAAATATAACTTAAAAGAAAGAGAAAGACAGAAAAAAAAAAAAAACACCACCCCACATCATCATCCATCCAGGCTGCCTCTTCATTTTGCTTCGCATTCCTCCGAGAGTCTCCAATTCGACATTTCCTTTTGTGGGTTTCTCTGTTTTTGTACATTAAGGCCTTCGGAAGCTTGATAATTGTGGTTTTTGGTTGGTTTTCTGAGACTAACAATCTAAGCAGCCAAGGATTTGCAGTGGGTAAAAATTTAGTGCCATTTTTCTACTTTTACTCTGGCTCTGCTTTCTTTGTTGTCTTTGACTGTTTTGCAGCTCTCTCTGTGTGCATAAGCTTTAAAGCTGTTGTAACTGCTTTTGGATTGTTATTTATGAATCATGAATTCGTTTGAGGATAATTAATAATCACAATGTAGTGTGGTTAACATGCTGAGGGGGGTCATCAAGGTTTCCTAGAATTTGAACTGTAATAAGTGCTTTGTTGGATTTGGAAAATGCGGAATATTGTGAGGTAAATAGAATTTTCAGATTTGATGAGTATTGGGAATTCATCAGAAGATTAACCATGAAGAATTTTGATTTTTATTGGTTTAAACAAATTGTTGCAAATAATGGAAAGTTAGAGAGGAGGCTGTCATTAGGCGAGTACAAGAGAGCGGTTTCTTGGTCAAAGTACCTTGTTTCATCTGGAGCTGAGATAAAGGGAGAAGGAGAAGAGGAATGGAGTGCAGATATGTCTGAGTTATACATAGGGGACAAATTTGCCACTGGAAGGCATAGTAGGATTTATAGAGGTATTTATAAGCACAGGGATGTGGCCATCAAGCTCATTAGTCAGCCTGAAGAGGATAGTGACTTGGCTGCATTGCTGGAGAAGCAGTTCACTTCTGAGGTCAACCTGTTGCTGAGGCTTAATCATCCCAATATTATCACAGTGAGTTTGACCGACCTACATAGTTTTTATTTTATTTTATTTTTTTTTGAGTAATGTTTTCTATTTAATATGATTTGTTCCTTTGAATACACGATACAATTTCTGTGCCGTTGATTTTTGTTTTACTCATGTGGAATTCAGTGCAGCTGTAGTTTCTTAACATCTACTATCTTTTTTGTTAGTCTGTCTTCAATGAGTTCGTCACCAACAAATGAAGATACTGCTTGATAGGTTTCTTTATAAAATGCTATCGAGTATATCTGTCAGTGTAGAATTCATTTTTACTTCATTGATGCTATAACGTGGTTGGAGAGAAGAGGAAATGAATTGGTTCAATAGATTGTGCTTCTATTGCCCTATATTGTACTAAGTTTTTCTTTTTGTTTTTTCTCTACTACTTGGTAAGCTTTTTCCTCATGTTCCCTGGATTCCCAAACTAGAATGGAATAGGAATGGGTGGGATGATTCCAAAAACTTTTCTGTTCTCAGTAGAACTCTGTGTGACATAATGCTGTTGCAGTCACCTGTCTGTTGTTTCATTTGATAATTGCTTATATTCTGTTGAAGTTCACTGGATAGTAGAGCCTGTAATTAATTCTAGTGGTTGGATTCTTCTTTCTGAGGGAAATAAGGGTGTTTTCAGATCTCAAAGCCTGATATAGGAGCAAGTTGTTATAACTTCTGTATATTGCCGTATAAATGGAGAACTTCTGTATTAGACATTTCGCTGGAACAGACTGCACATGTTTTGTAGTGTATCAAGGATCAGAATCAGATCGACTGTCTCTGCCTTATGTGCTTGCACAATGTAGCCATGAAGAAAGGAATTGATTACATTCCCCCAAACTAATTAAAATACTACAAACTGTTTTGCCAATTGTCTATGAAGGTCATTGCTGCTTTCAGAAATTCTACGTATACATGACTTTTGCTGTGATAAGTTGTATCAGAAACATTAGCTCAGAAGTTTAATCTTCCAAATAAAAAGCTTCTTGTGAAAGTTTGCTTAAAAGTTACGTTCCTTGGCTTTGGCTTGAATTGTTAGATCCTGATATGATTAAGCATGCCCAAAATTTGCATTGAACAGAAGGATGGGAATTTTTGGAGTAGTTGCAGCTGCGTGTTTCTTAAATACATCAAAACGTGGATGTTTCATTGAATTTATACTGATCGTGAGGCAATTCGTGTTTTCAGTTTATTGGAGCATGTAAGAAACCACCCGTGTTTTGCATTATTACTGAGTACTTACCCGGGGGCTCCTTACGAAAATTCCTCCATCAGCAGGTGCCGCATTCTCTTCCGCTTAACCTTGTCCTGAAGCTGGCTCTTGACATAGCACATGGAATGGAATATCTCCATTCGCTGGGAATATTGCACAGGGACCTTAAATCAGAAAACCTACTTCTTGATGATTCAATGTGTGTAAAAGTTGCAGATTTTGGCATATCATGCTTGGAATCCCAATGTGGTAGTGCAAAAGGGTTCACTGGCACTTACCGCTGGATGGCACCTGAAATGATCAAGGAAAAACATCATACCAAAAAGGTGGACGTTTATAGTTTTGGCATCACCCTTTGGGAGCTCTTAACTGCATTGACTCCATTTGATGACATGACTCCTGAACAAGCAGCTTTCGCAGTCTGCCAGAAGGTATTACCACACTCTCACCTTCCTATTCGAACCTGTAAACTGAGAACGAATGATTTAGTGATATGAAAACACATAAAAACCATTTTTGTTATGTTTCACATTTGAAATAATTTAACAATTGACTTTGTCATTTTGTACATGCTACGACCTTGTCATTTTATATTTCAGTTCTTCTTCCATAGTTCACCAAATTTAATCATCGCTTAGTTAATTTGCTTCTTGAAAACATGAGGCTTTTTCTAGGTTCTAATTAGAGAACTGTATACAAAGAAATAGGTACTAACTTTTGGTGAGTTCGTTTTTCTGTAGATATTTGCAGATTGGTGCTGTATTGTTACTAATATATATATTTTTTGTTTTACTCTTCTTTGTAAAGCAACCACATAGATGAGAATGATACTGCTTCCAAAGCAGATTTGGTTCTCACATTACGATTGCTCTTCCAGAATGGTACCTATTTTTATCCTCTTGGTTGTGCACTTAAAACTGGCTGATAATTCATGTTTTTACTCTGCAGAATGCGAGACCTCCATTGCCTTCAACATGTCCTTTGCCAGTTCGTCGCCTCATCAGCCGGTGCTGGTCACCTAATCCTAACAAGCGACCCCACTTCGAGGAGATTGTTTCAGTTTTAGAACGATACACAGAATCCCTCGAGCGAGATCCAGAATTCTTTTTATCACATGAACCTCGTGAACAGCAGCAACTTATTCGATGCCTACCCCGGTGTCTAGCTAATTGCCGGTCTGCTTCTACAAACCTGGCTAATCGGGGCCATGCTTGAAAGAACAGCTAAGTGTTTTCTATCATGATAGAGAATGTAAATTGCAAATATATGCTTTGGATTTTAGCTTTCTTATGTTCCTTCTGCAATTCCGAACGAAGTGTCCTTTGGCTAAAAATGAGTAAAAACTCATTGACGTATTCAGAGTGAACTAATCTAGCTACAAAGAAACGCACCTTTCTCACATTCTTGTAAGCTATCCAGTTTCAACGAATCAGAGTAATGGAAGTTTTCGAACTGAAGATGCTTCCTGTGAAGTATCAATATGCTGGGAGTGTTTATGGTTCATGGTGCTTTCATTGTCGCAATCGAATCATGTGGTATTATATACGAAAATACATCTATTTCCATTTAATAGGGCCATTTGTTTTGATGCAGTGATTAAGGAAAAAGTGAGTAGTATGATTGAAATATGGGCCAAAAGTTGAAAATGAAATTGTAAGAATGTCCAAAATTTAACGATCTTTTTTGTCGACGGTGTAAATTGTTAAACAAATGACAGGACTCATCTCATTGTCATTGGTCAAACAATAATTATAAAAGAAGATTCCTTTGGTTATACATACATATAATTAAAACAATCATCCAATACGCAGCTCACTTTAGTAGTATTTAATTAATGAATCAACTGAGAAATTTGATCCAAATGCTTATTGGAAAACTCCAGAAGAATACCGTCCTATTGTTGAATTTTATAGGCAGATGACCAAGCCTCAATTCAATGTTTATATACCAAAAATAATGCAATTTGTGTAAAAAAAATAAAGCTTTGATAGGCTCAGTTTACCAAACCAAACATATCTGACGCTAAACAACACAATCTTGAGAAAAAGTCTTCATTTTTTTCAGTTCTTCTTCTTCCCCCTTTATCCATTTAGTTGATATCGATCTAAAAAGAAACTGTCAATTTGTCATGATGATGGGGTGTTTCAATTTTGATAGATGTAGCTGATTACTCGAACCAAAATGGACCTGGAAATCCTGATTTCTGTGACACTACTCTTTGTTGGGGTAGCAATTTTAGTCCTGATTCATGTTTGTATAAACAGAGCATTTGGAACTGCTCGCAACAGTTCCAATCTGCCCGTGTCGCTCAATCAGACAAATACTAGAAGAAATACTCCTCCGGGGAGCCTGTGTGAAGATGAAATCAGGAATCTGCCGTCTTTCGATTATCGCGTCGTCGTTAGCGAAAATAATGATGACCAAGAGAAGGCGGCAACCACTTCCAGCAGCAGCAGCAGTAAATCTGCTCTCCAATGTGTAGTTTGTTTGGAGAGTTTTGAGGAAGGCCAAAAGTGCAGATTGTTGCCCAAATGTAGCCATTGCTTTCATGCTGAATGCATCGATTCGTGGCTGGCGAAAACCGGGGCGTGTCCGATTTGTAGAACTGGCGCGCTTCTTTCACCAGAATTGACACCAATACACTGCTGATCAGCCCTCCTGAAACCTGAAGTTAAAAAGAGTTCAGCAGTATGGTTCTCCTTTTTTCTTTTTTTTTTCTTTTTTCTTTTTTCAACACTTTTGTTCCCTCTTGAAATATTCAGAATGTATTGACTTAATCGTGAGTTAGCTCCTTGAAACATTCGAATTTAGGCAAATTGCACTTTTTTTTTGTATTTGGGTGTTTTTATTTTATTTCTTTCTCGGTACATATAGCCTGGGTTGAGAAATTTTCTTCAAATTTCACAAGGATATCGTATTTTTTGGCGCAAGGATGCTAAAAATGCACATTTTATACCCGTTCCAAAATTCCAGTTTGAATTTTCAGTTTCAGTACAAATTGAACTACAAGTAAAAATCTAAATTGGATAATAATTTAGGGATCTGATTGTCAATATATTAGTAGAAGTAGAATGTGATATATATATATATATATATATATATATATGTGTGTGTGTGTTGAAATAACCTAAGTGACAATAGATTAAATTGTTAAAAGGTTTTCCCAAATATAAAATCAAATATAATTGCCGTTTTGAGAAACATAAGAACATATGCAGATACTATTCAACATGAAATTGCAAATCAAGCAAACACTCAAGAAGATGAACTCACATATATGAGCATAGAAAATCTTTTAAAAAATAAAAATAGAAGAAGAGTCAAGTAGAGAGTTGAGTGGGACAAATGATAATACTAGTATACTAGTATTAACAAAGAGAGACTTTGATGACCTACAAGTCATTGAATTAATTATTTAAAGATAAAACACTCAACTTGAACTGGACGAGTCTTAGGAGTAAACTGATTGAAAGCAATATAAAATGTACAAGATTAGTCTTGGAATTGAACAAGTAAATAAAGATTATAACCGAAGAACCTAAGTTTGCGTTTTGTGGCAAAGATAAATAACCAAGGATTTACATACAATAGTGTTTAGGAGAGATGAACAAAGAAATGAATGATTCCTTAGAAAACGAAATATCATAATTGGTTACTAACTGCTATTGAAACATTGCCCTGTAATACTTATTTGATTGGCACCATCTTATTACCTTACAACAATAATTACTCCCTATTTTCAAAATAATAATAATTATATTATAAAAATAATAATAGTCCGTATTAAATTTTAAATTTGTATTGTGTTTAGTACAAATTTCAAAATTTAATATGCTCGTATTCAATGTGTTTTTTTTTTAAGGTATTAAATTTTGACATCGTTTAATCTATAATACTTAATTAAAGCAGCAAACAAAAAGGACATGTGTTAGCACCATAATAAAAATTTTTCCGCCAAAAGCCATTTTCAGTACAAAATCATTTTTGACACGTGGCACTCTAACTAATCAGAAAAAGAGGATAGAATAGATAAATACATAAATCCCTTAGTTATACCTACATAAAAATATCTTAATTATAAGTATATACTAATCCTTTAAAACAACAATATTTAGTTGATAAAATTAAATACTAGGAAATCCCCTTAAATCAAGTGAAACACCCGTAATGTCTTTCCAATCCCCAATTTTAAAGAATCTCTTCCATTCTGCTCCTCTCTCATACCCGAGCCTTTAAATCAATTACTTAAAATCTGACATCAATTATCAATCCATCTCTTTCTACAACGGAGAAAAAATAAGTTGTAATGAAAGAAATTTGATTTTTTAAGGATGATTTTTTTTATTCTTCTGTTGTAGATATTGGTTTATGATTTATGTAAACCCAGACATAAGTAAACTGTTATAAATTAAATGTTGTAAATCTGGGCATCGATTTATGTGTAATAGCTCACTTTCTGTCCTTTCAATCGATTTTTTATTCTTTTAATTTTTTTTTATTCTTATAAAAATGATTTATATTTTTTATTTAATTAATTTAAAAATACAAGCGACACCCCGGGCATTCGCCCGCATCTAGTAACAAATTACGTAGATGTACAATAAGAAAGTAAAAGTCTTTTCTGGTCCATGAGGCTTGACATGGTTAAGAGGCCCATGAGGCCATGATTATTCTTTCAGGTAGTTCTTTTCACGTCCACGATATTTTAAGGACTTGTTAGTTTTGCATTCATTTAAATCATTTTATTTGGTCAAATTTCCCAACCATCAGATACTTACTATTAAGACAGGAAATTAGTCATTAATATTAGACACTGTAAGATAAAAAAAAATATATTTATCTTTTTTGAAAAAACTAAGGCGGCACCTGACGGCAATACTAGAATTTCATAAATAATAATAACCGCTTGCATAGGTGCAGTGTAAATGTCGATTGTTAATTTGTTATAGTGGACATGGCTGAATGAAATCTACAATTTAGCAATAATAATAATAATAATAATAATTTATACCTTTTCTTCTTTATGAAAGATACTATTATATATTGATAACTAGATAAGACCCGTGTAATCACGGGCTCCCCATTTATTTTTTTGTGTGTCGACCGGTGTCATTGATAAAATAAAATTAATTATAAGAATGTCATATTTTCTCATACGTAATATTTGTTACACTGAGATATAAATATGAAATCATACGATGAATATTATATTCTTTAAATACATTGTTTATTCTATATATTTATATTCTTTAAAGAAGTCATCCAATTCAAATTACAACCTATTTTATTATATATGACTTGTACCCAATTGTTATCTTTACTACTTATGGATTTATGTCACTTCATGTTTTCCAATTTTCTTAATTGTGAAAATTCAAAGTATGCATTTCCCACATCCAATCTAAATTAATATTGTCGAATGTCTATAAAGGTGGCTCATACTAACTGATTAGTGACGAAACAAATATAGAGTCGCACAGAGTGAATAAATAATAACCAAATCTGGAATTGGTTCAGATCAGGGTACTCAAATTAATTTCACATCGCGATATTGTTCATCATTTTCCCATCGCTATATAGTTATCTGTTGAAAGTACAGGCTCCACAATTTTTTTTGGTGTGTCCGACCGTCTACTTTGATATAAGAAATATATTAGAATTAGAATAAAATGTATAAATGAAGGAACTTCTAAACTTTACTAACAAATATGAATGTTCATCAGTTAATCATAAATTTTTGATATTATAAATTATAATGATGAAATGACAATTTATTGTCTGTCAATCCGTTTGCGTTCACATAAATGATTGTTGTATGAGATTCCCGAAAATAGTTTTTTCTTTTTTTCGGGAAGATAGTTAAAATTCAAAATACACAGTAGTCATTACTAATATTTTGATAATTGAAATTAGAAAAAGTAAAAGAACAAATATTAAGTAAAAAGAGAAAAGAAATAGAACAACAACATCACGCTATTACAAAGCTAACATCGAAACTAAATAACTAAATAGGAATTAAACTCTTAGTGAAAAATCCTAATGCTGGCATAGAACAACCATATACAGGGAAATGCCTGATTCGAAATGAACCTCTATTCTCTGTTGGTTTGTACAAATAGTAATGCAAACGATTAGGTCCCGATAGAATGAATTCGCCTTGGAAAGAAGATTTTGGATTTAAGATGAGGTTCCATTCTCGATGCCACATGATGATCAAAATGTTGACAAAATGGACTATATCGGATTGTCACTGGAAACTGTAAACTAAATTCGAACATTTTTGTCCAATATCCCTCACTGTTTCCACGGTGGTGAAAAGTCCATAAATGGAACTTCCGAGAAACGAAAATTAATTCCTCGTTCGTTAGACATAGTGTACCCTGCATATTCAAAATTTTCAGAGTTGACTTAGGTGACTTATCGCAGATATTCCAGAATGGATCGTCAGGACATGTAATGATTTGAAATGTTTTACTATGGGCATCAAATGAAACCAGAAGCTGATTTCGAGATTCTTGGCCATTGTGGACAATTTTATTTATTGGCCAGTATACCAGATGTCCAACAAATAATCCTTCAGGGAGAACATTTCGTGGACAAACTGCATCAACACGAGTCCAAGAGCAATTGTCGACTTCTTCATCGTCAACACAATTTTGTCCTGGTTGCCAAGAAAGTGTGACAGCAACCATATAATCTGGTTAATGTTCTTGTAAGCATATAATGTAGTACCTTTGAAGTTCAGCTATGTAGTCGAACACCATGGTCCATACACCTCGATTCCCAAATCCTGCAAACGGTGCGATTAATTCACGTGCTTGTTTTGTAATAGGATTGAGTAACTTGATCTTGTTCTGCAGCTTGAAGCACATGATATCACAAGTGATGGGAAGTACTCGAAGGATGAACTTACTGTGAATCGACAACTTAACTTTGTGGCATAGTATATTCACCACATCCTCATCAATGTAAACATCATTGAATTTCAACAATTTAGCTACTCTGGTATTCAGACTCATCTTTTGAGAAAGAACTAACAAAGATTTGTCACCTGAATTTAGAGATGAGCGTCGATGCTTCAACACGAATTGTATATCATACAGAATTAGCTTCCACGTTTTACTAACGCATCGAGAAACACCTGTAGTTTTGCAATCAAATCTGGACATGATGTCCATGTACAACTCAATTGGAAGCATGTGAAAAGGATCGACAAAAGATTCAAAGTTCTCACTTCGTTCGAAATGAGACATTTCACAAATGAGAGGATTGAAAACACAATTTTACAGGTAGGAATTTCAAAGGAAGGAATTTGGAATGACGTTTGTAGAGTAAGACAACTATTTTCTGAATATATGAGATGGACCAATGCGCAAATAGATATACTAATATGAATAGGGGTAAGCTATATGAGGAATAGAATAAACATAAACAATTTCAACTAATACAAAACACAATCATGAGCCATGAAGTCAGTTGGTTACTCAAACAGTTTGCATGCAAATGTTATTTAGGCAACCACGCTTAAACATCGAATACTTTAGTGGTTTAATAAAAAATACACCTCAAGTTCCCAAGTAAAGTAAAATAAGCATGCTTCAAAGCACACATTTTTTTAGTAGTCCATTTCTTCTAGTTTCTGTGTTAGA